AACTGGAGCTAGAGTTGTTCAAAAACTCCAGCCAGAGAGGGCATATGTCATATCAACACGTGTTCTATAGAAAATGTTCTATTTGGCATGGGAAACCATGCAACATACCGAGTCTTGGTAGACAAATTGGCTTAGGCTAATCTAGTTGTCGTTATGAGAGCACAAACAGGGATCTGTTAGTTGTCGTTATGATGTACTTATAGCATCGGTTTTGCATGACGTAAGAATGGCTTGACGAATCGGGTATAGTGCGGCCTCTGTCCCCTTGTGTATAGGCTGCGCGTCATTGTGCCGTCAGGAAGGGGGCTCTACATCTATTTGCCGAGTGAATCTAATGGCCCTAACTTGTTAGACAAACCTTTGAAAGGGTTCATAGTGAACCCTGCCGACCTTCCTTGGTAGTGGGTCAAGAGGCTGATCACCTCGGGCGAAAGAGTAAATCACGACTCATAGTGAAAGTGTACAGATTGGTATCGGAACGGTGTTGACTATAGGACGTATGCCAAGTTACCACTGGTCGCCTTCTAAACATTATTTTGCTACAAAACTACTTTTTCATCTCCTTGACTTATTGAATTGATTATTTCTCATCGTTGTTGTATTGTCTAGTCTCCTTGATAGCTTCCTTTGAGCTATTGGTTCTTATCTCCTTATGTTTTTATTTCTTTGGTTTACTAAAGTTTTCTCATCTCAGCTTGTTCAAATTCACGATGGCCTTTCATCATCTATAACCCACTTTTTAGGATGCCAACCATTGCTATAGAAGCACGTGTAGTGTCGATGTGGTGTTGCATGCTTATCTTGTTTGGTGTGTTGCTTGTCTGCTGGCCCCATCTATGTAATCCATAGGAAAGCTATGAAGACTACACCAACAAAGGATGTTCTTATGGAAGTTTTTGAAGTCAAGTAAGACCCTTGTTAAGTGGGGTAGCGTCTTTTGTCAACATCACCAAGTCCCGAGTATCACAAGTGATGAGACACAAAGAACTCAAGATCTATCTTTATCTACCTTATCATCATTTGTTTATCCATGATCCTTGTTCTTAAATCTCATAAATCCCCAATCAAGGAAGCATTAAAGATCAGTTTTATCTATCTCCATAGTCTCTCTGAATCTCGGGACGAGATTCCTGTTAAGTGGGGTAGTTTGTCACACCCCAAAATTTCTGATTTTGGGTTGTGCATAGAAAACACAAATTAAAATAAATGTTATGATATTTGGTTAAAAAATTTCAGGTTTAGTTTAAGTTAGCGTCAATTAGTTATAGGAAAAACGTGAATATTTAAACTTTTCTGAATTAATTTGACCAGATATTGCTTGATGTGATGTTTGCTTGTTATTTCTTTGTGTGTTGAGAGTGAGCAAAATCTTTAAAATATGTTTAGTAGGTCGATCTTCCTTCTCTAGCATGCCTTTGTCTTTGTCTACAATCAAAATTTCTTGTTTCTCAGCTCAAGTTTTCATTGGGAGTTTTCTAAAATCTTTTCTTTGTAACCCAAATCGCTCCTTTCAGCTCCTCGTCCGTCAATCAATCTCTACAAACTTCTCAATAATTTTTCTGACTTTTTCTAGAACTTGTGTCCACTTGTCTGTGAGCATAATTTAATTTTTAGATGTTCCAAATTATCTTATCACGAGCTCCAAGTACTTTATTTTGGTTCCTCATATTCCATAATGCCTCTCCCCGAATTTTCAGAGCTTTTTCACGGCTCAAATAATAATTCTAGACTTTTCTAGAATTATTTTATCAACGAAATTAATTAATTCCGAAAATAATAAAATCTCTCTTTATTTTCCAATGCTCAAACCCCATGTGCAATAATTCTAATAAATCCTAAAGGCCCATGTCTTTATTTACTAACGGGCTTTAATGCTTATTTAGGGCTATTAGTGCAAGTGGATAGTGCAACGTCAATTAGTACCATATTGCTAGTTGACGTAGATGTGGGGAGTTTTTCTATATATATATATATATATATATATATATATATATATATATATATATATATATATATATATATATGTTGAACCCCTCGGGTAAAACACACCAAAACTACTGTAAGAGAAGCCCCTAGTTTGCTAAATCCCTCGTGTAGTAAATTAGAATTTTCTCTCTTCCTTGTCATGTCAGCGTCCGACTCTTCAGCGAGCTTTTCCGGCCTAACCGTCGCGTTCCGACATCAACACCACCATGAGGTATCCCTCTTTGTCCTCCACGTCATGGTATACTTGGTTGCGTGAATACATCACCGTTTGACCTTTTCTCCATTGTTTCTTTGCTTCCGGTGAACTTCACCATGGTTGGCTTCTTGTTATCCTTCGATTCCGGCCGCTGCTCGGCTCTCCGGCGCCGCCGTAGCCTGCTGGGCGAGCGCGCGTGCGCTGCTGCAGCTGCCGCGTTGGCCCTGCCTCAGCCCGGCCGCCGTGCGGCGCTTGTACCGTGCGTGCATGGCTAGTTCGGGAGCCCTTTGGCCACCCGCGGGCGCCGCCCATCGCGGATGACGCACGTGGGCAGGTGGGAGTCGAGGCCTCCAAGTCTCAGGCTCATGCTCAGCTCAGCCCTGCCTTTGCTTCCCCGGCCGACATCCCCTACGAGAACGGCAGCAGGTTCCAAAGGCCATGGACGTCACGATCTGCAACAGCCAAGGATGAAGACAACATAATTACGAAACTGCCATTGGTTCGTAATATCTCCGTCTTTCCTTCGTTTTAATTCCGATTCAGTTTGTTCAAGTTGCGTTAGATTCATGCCGACGTGCTCTACACAGTAGTATTAATGTTTTTCATGCCACATGTTTTTCTATATATAGTTAAATATTAAATTGATTAATATACTTGTATCTAGTTTTATAATTAAAATCAATATAGGTTTATTTATACTTATGTATTTTATATATAACTAATAACATGATTAATTGCTAACATAAATGTGTTTCTAAATTATAATTTGCTTAGGATAAACAGCGTCATATAAAACTTGTTTATATGCTCTCACATGCACCTTTGTTTTGTAAATGTTAAAGTTTAATCTGATTAAATTATATGATGACTAAAACATGATTAGCTATAACTCGACTTTTGAAAACTAAATATGTTTTGATTAATCGGAATTAATACTATTCACATAGTTTTTTTTAATTAAAATAAATCAAACCCGTATTTGCTTCTTTTATAATATAAAACTCTTGATAGTAGTTTCTTTTTAACGATAATTTCATTATCGACATTTCTTGGGTTCTCTCGATTGTAGCAACGAGTTCTCTCTTAGTACGCTGTTTTAAAGCTCTTGCTCTGTTATTCTTAGTTGCTTTTATTTGTTGCTTGTTGGATTGCCTATGTGTGGTGCTTGCTCTGAGTAAACGAGAACCGTTTGTGGGTGCTGAAGATCAAAAGGTGATGACCGAAAGCTGATGGTGTGAGAGCTGAGCAAGTGTTTAAGGCAAGTATAGCATGGGATCATCCTTGTTGTCCTATACACTTTAATAACTTAATCATATGCATGTGTCTACCTTAGCAACCGTAGTAATTTTTCTAGCTATTTGATATCTTGAATTCCTTATCACCTAAGGGGTATTACATTGGGTAGTATAATGCTAGTGCTCAACTGAAACCATGATCTTATAACTTGACTAATGGAATATGCAATAAACACTAAAATATGCCTTTTAGCAACAAGAAAAAAGGGGGCTAGAGCATAGTTTTTGTGATGCTCTAGATTTATCTCCCTAAGGACTTATCTGTAAGTGGTCGCCGGGACTTACAGTACATCCATGAGTGCTATATGGCTCTGGCTTTAGTCAAGTACGAGGAGCTTTTCGTTAGTGGTTACCTTTATGGTGCAAGAGGGGTGTGTTTCGGGTTGAGTGTAGTGCGGCCTCTGTTCCTAAGAGTACTTCTACGTGAGTGTGCCTTTCGAAAGGGGGCTCTACATTCGTAGGGCACAGAAACCTTGCAGCCCTAACTTGTTAGACCAATCTTTAAAAGACTTCATAGTGAACCCCGCCGACCTTCCTTGGTAGTGGGTCAAGAGGCTGGTCACTTCGGACGAAAGGGTAAATCACGGCTCATGGGTAAAGATGTACAACCTCTGGAGAATATAAAACTGTTATAACAACCGTCCTCACGGTCACAAGCGGCCTTGGAACTCTTACGGAATAGATGATCATTAATGGTTAATTGTTTACGCTATTCATTATTTATGTTTATCGGATCATGTGTTTATGTGGGCTTATGATAAATTTGATGCTACTCAATTACTTAAAATTACGACTAACTAAAAGCTAACCGCAGTAAACCAGTGTCATCCTTTTGAGCCCCATTAACCCCATGTTATATTTGCTGAGTACGACATGTGCTCACCCTTGCTATTTCCCCACACCACAGACTCTAGAAAAGTTGCTCCGAAGATTGATGGAATCACGGAGGAGTTCCTAGAAAATTGATAGAAGTGCTAGGCATATATTACCCCTAGTCAGCCGTCCCTGTGAAGGATGGAGCCTAAAGATTACCAACAGTTTTATGATACTCTGATGTAAGTATTGAATATGAGTATATTTCGTTATATAATAAAAGCGTTGTCTCTTGATACTATTGTAATTTGTCGCTATATGTGTGATTTGACTTTCTGGCACACATACAGTTGGTACTCAGTTTTGTCTTTAAAACTGGGTGTGATAGAATGATAATTAATTATTTAAGTTGAAGCATTTTTTAAAAAGAATTCTTTAAGTTGAAGTTTTACACATAAACTTGAAATATTAATTATTAGCGAACTAGAAACATCACGCCTGATTTGAATGCATCTTTTTCTCAAGCTCATACGGAGTTCTTTACCGAAAATGATATCTTGGGGCACATTTCTACTTTTAGAGTTGTTCTCTGGTCTGTTCTTGTCCATTTGGACACCTGAAATTAAGTGACTTTATCATAATGATAAGGAGAAACAACAATGGATCTGTAAAATCGAAGTAGCGAAGTACTATAAGATCGATAGACTCACTGGCTTGTAAGTATTTTGTGGGGCTCTGACCATCCACATGCTCTGCGTAGGTAGCAACTTTAGTCAAGGCTTCAAATTTTCTTTTGCAGTTCCTGTTGCTGTCTGTTCTGTTTTTGCTGGTGCTACAGTTGTTGGTGCCACTATCACCAACTGCTTTTACCACCTGCTTATTTTTCTTCGGAGTTGAAACGTCAGTGGTTATTTTTTTCATTTTGGACACCTGCTTATTTTTCTTCGGAGTTGAAACGTCAGTGGTTATTTTTTTCATTTTGGACTTGCTATTACTGTTAACTTCTTGTTCCTTTGGCACGCTCAGTGAAGATTCCAAAGGCCAGTCCCTGCAACATGTGAAGAGTAATCTTTAGTCATTAACCTAAAAGAGTTGTAAGAAGAACACCATTTCGATAATGGTTTCATGCATAATCAGCTGAAATAAATCTTTAAGTGTACCTGTTTAGGACGTTTAAGAAGACCTTATATGGCAGTAAATGATAGCAATCAACAACAGATGTTCGTTGTTGGGTACCCTCATGGTGGCCAGTGGCGGATTCCGGCGGTGCTACGCGGTGCGTGCCTACCTATGACCCCATGCCTTCTCCATGCTACATGGCTGTTGGTCCGCGCCACATAGGGAAGAGATGAGGGCTTCCAATGGAGAACGACAAGGAGGGGTGCGCCTCCCCAATGTCCGTCGCCACAGAATCTCGGTTCACGGACTGCAGGGAAAATACCATGTCCATCGCATGCAGGGGGAACCACAGGCCCAAAATTCCCGACGCAGTGGACAAGATCGATATCCTCCTTGTAGTTATGCGCAACTTTGAGGAGATGTGATGGGGTGTGGGGCTGAATTAGCTACTGATCGCGCATCTCCCACACCTGCCCACCCGCTAGGTGCCGCGAACAGCAGCCTATAGCCGCACCGCTACTAACACATGACGGCTAAGCATCTTCCCTGCCAGCTCCGTCAAGATGTTTGTTGGCTACTCGATCTGCTGCAACATCTCACCCTCGGCTTGGATCGGCTGAGCGCCGTTTATGGTGGTAGTGGTGGTCACCTGTTGTCGAGATTCCAGGGCCTCTAGATGCGCCCAGAGAGACACCACCTACTAGGAGAGGACGGTCAGCTCCTTGGCGATAGGATCCGACGGCGGTCATCAGAACCTAACACCACCCATTCGAGATGTTATGATGGCTATTATGGTTGCGAGGGAGAGAGGGGGCCGGCCGGGGGCCTTGCTCACGGCTGAGCAGGAGAGAAGGCATTTTCCAACTAATTCTTCCTTGATTAGATTGATACATCTCCTCTCCTTACATATAGAGGCTTACTTGATCCCTAAGCAAGCCATCCTTATCGATAGGCCCATTACAAAGTGGGAACAGTGGAAAAAGCAAACCTTTTGATCAGGACATCTAAAGGCATTTCCTTAAGCTTGTTGTCGACTGTCTAATCATAGTGCATAAGGAACAACATGGTAGCTGTCCCTTTATTACTCAGTGAGTACACCCGATGTTCTTCGATAAAACGCAAATGTGTACCCTTCATACCTATTAAAATAAAAGTGTGTGAGACATACTAAGACATACAAAAGATAGGAGCACAAGCATAGACTTTGCAAAATCAATAAAAATCAAGCACACAATTACGCTTCCCAAGCAACTTGTGTATCGAGCACACAATTTGGTGTAATTTAGAAAAGAACATTGATTGCTATCAGCTCATGAACACAATCTAATTAAGCTACTCTAGGACCCGATTAGTTGGCTTCCCGTCCGAGCTTGGCTCGCTCTAGGCATCCAGGCCCTCAGCAGCCTCTTTTCCATTGGAGGCTACCCCATTTCCATTATAGCATAACAGAAATACATTGTGCGCGAACAACCTAGCACAGCTGAGTTGCCATCTGGTTTTATGCATGTATAAATAAATGCACGGAAAATGCAGCCAGTCTTTAAGGAAACGCTCTCCCGCGCGCTCGCCCGTGGGTGCGGCCATCAAAACATTGATTTTTTCCTCATGGGGCGTGCTAGGCAAGGGGGGCGGCTTTTGCATGGAGCAAACCTGGCCGACACCCAAGACCAGGAAACTGGTCACGTGTATATTGCATCTGGAGAGCCTTGCCAGTGGATGCAAGACCATATTAAATAATGTTTCAGTAGCAAACAACTTGTATAGAATCAAATTAAATGAGAGGAGCAAACCACACCAGCTAGCCTAACTCCACAAAGTGACCATATTTTTGCCCATGTGCTTGTGGGTGAACTACAATTCTACTACAAATTACGGCATGGACCTGTAGCCAGTAGCCACAACAAGACTGCATCCAATTGCTCTAGTTATTGGAAAAGGAATAAGGGTGCATACATACAATGCACTGTAATTAAGTTGAAGAAGAACTGTAGAAGTGTCTATAGCACAAACCTGTTTTGGGCTCCACCTCTGAATATGCAATCCGCTGAAGCATGTATGGTTCAGAAGGAAGTGCCGTAGATTTAATACACGACCCCTGCACCGACATGTCACCGCTGATATCTTTCTCAAATATCCTTGGTTTGGGATCCATGCTCGAGCAAGCATGCTTTCTTGGTCCTATTGAGAAGCATACCAGCAATCCTGGAGATCGGCCACATGATCATCTCGGGGGAGTCCTTGGTGGGGTCGAGCGCCTCAGCAATGTCGCAGGCGACGATGATTGCCTTGTCAGTAACCAAGAACCCCGCCTCAGCATTTTCGGTTCTGGGGATGGTTCAGGTACATGAGCAGATTTTTGTTGGTGACGGTGAGGGAGGCGGACATGCAGAACCGAAGGGGGCTGGCAAACTCGATTTGCGGGAACTGTTTGCAGTGGTAGTAGTTGTATAGGAGAACCGTTGCGTGGATCTGCACAACAACAAAACCACATACATGGCGGGTAAGTCGCTGACGATTTATTGGAAAAAACAAAAGCGAATTCAAAAAGCCCGAAGCCCGAAACAAATAAGCTAGAATAAGCTCCATATGATATGACGGAGCCGCGTGGAAAGCCGCAGCTCGATCGGCAATTGCAAAAATAAAAAAGAAAGAAAAAAAAGTGTGTGATCAACACTAAGTGGAACAATGTTTTGGATCAGCCAGTAGAAGCCGCGAATTAATTCCAAATGCACCAAGTAAGGATGCAAAAAAGACCTGCTGGACAGCCGCGGGCCACTTGTTTTTTCTATTGCAGACTGAAGCGCGGGCCATCCTTCTAACAAAAGTGGACAATCAGCAAAGCCCGTGAAATCCTGCACACACCCGCAAACAGGCGAAGACTCTACCGTCGCCGTCATTTCATCTGTCTACTCGACCAAGCCCACTCTTGCCCCTGCCACCGCACCGGCTAAGAAGAAATCGTCGTCTAGTCCAGCTGCCGAGGCCCCCGTCGCTAGGAAGAAGAAGGGCGCATCCGCCCCTGCTCCGGCTGCTGAGGATGTGCCAGGATGGTGCAGTTCGCAAGAGCTTGTGTAGCAGGCACCCGCACAGCCCAAAATATTGGCACGCAGCCCGCCCCGCTTGCATCGGTAGCCACGCCGAACCGCTCGCATCTCACGGGGAGGAACCGCTTGCATTGGTGCATTGGCGCCGGCTGCCGTAATGCAGCTCGACGGCGATCGTCAACGTTCCGACGGGTGCGCTCTCGACGTCGCTCATGCACGCACACATGCGAACGCGAAGACACAGTTTTCCGACTCACAATGTTGCGACCTTTTCCGGCTTCCTTTCTTCCTTTTATTCAACGGTGCTAACAATCCGCCACGCCCGCTCACGCTGCGCCGTGCCCGCCTAAAGCGCGAGAACGTTTCATGCGTGGCGTGGCTAAGGAACCGCTGGGCCGCACCGTGTGGACGTCACGCGTGGCTGGCCGCGGCGAAACGCTGCCTGGCTGGCTAGCCTTGTGCTTTCGACTTACGAGCCATGTGCTTTCGACTTACGAGGGTAATGACTGGATTTTACTGGTAACAGGCTTTTGTCTGAGTTGCCGCTGCAGGTTCCACAGCTCATCATTGGACGGGCTCAGGTCAGGTACGGCGGACGGGCTGCGCTGCGACGCCTGGCTTTTGAGTTTTGATGGCACGTACAACGGGCCTGCTTGAGTCGTCTGTGTCCCGTAACATTTCCAAAAAGGCCCCTCATGAACAGGAATCGAGGCGTCGTCTTGTGAGGCGGCGACGACGGCTCGTGCTCCCAGGCGTAATCGCCATCCGACGCCGCATTGTATGGAGTCGTCTTGCCCGAGTGCCAAGGCACCGGATCCACCTGCGGCACACGGGAGAAGCAAAGATGGGCGCCAAAATCACCGAGGCACGGGATGTGGCTGCAGCGCGGAGATGTCGAGCTCGACAGCGCCGGTGGATGGCGCCACCACTACTACAAAAAAAAATTCGAGGTAGGTGAAATGGGCTAACCGAGGCAGGCATCACGTCCGTCTCATCTAAAAGGTCTCAGTTAATCTTTTTTTCTGAAGCAGTTCAAATTCCCGCCTACGAAAATCAAATAAAAAACAAAAAATAAAGGAAAAAGCCCACAGCTCAACCAGGTCTAGATCTGGGCCTTGCGCCGCCGCCCCTGCACGCTCTCCACTGCTCAATCCGCCATCAGGGAAGCCGGATCCAGCCTCCACGCGCACGCCACCTCTGGATCCGCGCTGCTTGGGGACGAAGAAGAGGGAGCTGCTGCTGGATCCGGCCCCCGCGCCGCCGTTGCTGGATCTGGCCATTCCGTGAGCGTCGCCGCTGGATTCGCGCCGCTCGGGAAGGGAGAAGAGGGAGAAGCATGCAGATCTGGCCTCCAGAGCGCCGCTGCAGGGCCACCATAGGGCCCGTGTGAGCTCTGCCACGGAGGGGGCTGCGGCGCGAGCACTTGTCGATGAGGGAAACAGAGAGATAGGAGAGTCGGGTCAACACCGCCCTCACTGTGCCACGCGTGCTGTGCCCGCCCGTCCGTTCTACCGCCCGTGGGAGATAGGAAGAGAGAGATCAAGAGAGAGGCTGTGCGCCTGTGCTCGGCAGGAGAGAGAAAGAGAGAATCGGCTAAGTCTGTTGAGTGGGAGGAGTCTAGGGTTTCTCAGTATATATAGTACGAACCCATTACCCGGCCAAGTGGGCTTGGCCATGTTTAATAGAGGTGGGCCTCATAAGAGATGGGTATTTCCTAACCGCCTCCTTAAATAAAATAACCACATCCATTAAACGATTTTGCGAGGGGTCGTTTTTTGTTGCCTAGGTAAATTAAATGACCGTCTCCGCTAGTCAACGGGCATTAGGTTAATGTTTGGGCAGTGCCTCACAAAATCATTTTTGTAGTAGTGCACGGGGCGGCTCG